GGCTGCGTCAAGTCCATCCCCACCATCAGGGGCCCTGGTGAAAGGGAGCCTGGGGCTTAGATTCCGCGCCCTGAGGGACTCCAGTCTGTGGGTCACCAGAGGCTGTCGCCAGTCAGTGCGTGACCTTACCATAAGGCCTGCCTGACCATTCCACCGCTCCAGCCCTGACACTTCCTCTTAGAATTCATAATCCCAGTGTATTTCATAAATCATGAAGTAATAACAACACAGCCAGAATAAGGAAATATTTACCTCCCTCAGTTAATTTTTAGTGTTTTAATTCCAAACACCCCTAATATTAGATGGTATGGGGAACCAAAGGAACCTTATCCCTCATAGGTAAAATAGACATCCAAAACCTGACACATTTATGCAGGCCGTAGACGGGTAGTTTATCGGCCGAATTTTTGTCCGCACGAAAAATCGGCCGATAATCACGCTGTTAGTGGGGCCAGCCCGTCGGACGTTTTTCGCGGATCTCCTCATTTATTTTAATCGGTCATGCTGGAAAATCTGCGAAAAACTGCCGTTTTTCATGGACATGGGTGGCAGCATCGGCAACAGGGCCGACCAATTTTTTGTTTATTGGCCGAAAATTCGGCCGAAAAGCGGCCTGTCTATGGCCTGCCTTATTCTTATTTTGAACCTGATGTCAGGCTGGACAATAATATGCATGTTAGCAGTGTACCTGGGACACAGTCGTAAACATAGTGACATCCCAGGGCCACTCCTCAGCCATTTAATTAGTCAGATGGTCTCTGCCAACACCTGTTTGATGTCAAAGGAAAGTGGATTGCACTTTGGACAGCTCTCATTTAACATCAAACCAAGTAACATCTGTCAAGTTGTATGAGAGCCAATGCACCATCTTGCTTCATTGATTGGACTCTGCTGAACTAGGACATTGTTAAGTATTCTCACTCTCAGCTCCTTTTTATTTCTCTGTTGCCTTGTTGTCTTTGTTTCTTTGTAATACCTTTTTTGGGCAAATGTTTTATTTGCACCATTTTTACCTTTTCATTGGTAAACTATATTTTAAAAAGTGCCAAAACTGCTTCAAATGCCCTAATGCAAACTAAAAAAATCCCTCTCTGGAAGAGTGCTACTGTAGCGTAAATCTCTGGACATACCTACCTGTGGTGACAGTGTGCGTTGCAGACGTTTATTCTAAGATCACAAGTTGCTGTTGCTAATCTTGTGAAAGTTTACTACTTCTCTATGAAAGTAGGTGGTGGTGGCAGTTTAAAGTGTTAATTGCTTAGTTAATAAAACCCGTGACAATCGCGCTCAGTCTGCTGGCATTTAGATTGTGGTCCTGCAAGCTTGAAAATCTATTTGTAGGGTGAGGCTGAGAGTGTCATTGCTGTGAATCAGCGACAATGCAGTGTGGGGTTGACCAGTCATTTTGTCTCAAGTTTGTGGAAAGGGCAGTTCTGACACCACGTTGGTCACAAAGCTGATCTCTTTGATTGCAGCTATCTGATGCAGCTATCCTCAGCCTGGCTTTTGGAGTGCTGCATTCAGACCCCGTTGACATTGCAGGGATAGCCTGAAAGTGACTTTCAGCAATGGGTAACTTATGGCTCCAGGGCTGCTAAGATCTGCAACCTTCTGGAAAGGAGATGTGTCCTGCAACATAGATATCCCGCTGCTAGATCTGCACCTTCTGGAAAGGAGATGAGTCCTGCAACATAGAATCCCGCTATGCTTTGCTGCTTGAATCTATTTCATCATTGGGTGGGGCCAAGTCCAATGCTTTGATGACCGGGGTTCCTACTACTGTCGCACAAGATTTTTTGGTCAACTCACTTCTGAACCCTGGGCACTCATCAGGGTTCAGGTCCCAGTGTTAGACCTATTCATGGCATCCCCATTGTAGGAGACTTAGTAGACCTACAGTTGTTTAAACGGTTAGCTCTGGCTGTTTTGGAATATATTTCAGTCTATCTGACCCTCAGTCCAGGGATGACCCACTGCTTTGCATGAGAGTCTTCTGTCTATGAGTAATCCTCCTCGAGGCAGCCCCTTTTGTCCAGTTAAACTTCAGACTGTCATAACATCACACTCTGTTTTCGTAGGACTAGTTTACTGATTTATCTAGCCAAGTAGTCCCTGGTCTGGCAGATCATTCTTTCAGCTCTGAATCAGTGGAGTGGAGTCCTTCTCTCTCACCTTCTGAAAAATCCTATCATGGGCTGTACGCTTCTCAGTAAATATATTGTTCAGTAAATATATCTCTAAAAGTGCTATTGACATGACATTTTCACCACATGTTGGTAACAATCTATCCAACCCATACATACAAAGAAACCAAAACAAATTAGTTCAGAAATTAAGTTATGTGTAATAAAATGGAATGACAAAAAGTGATGAGAAAAAGTATTGAACACGGGAAGAAAGGGAGGTGCAAAAGGCATGGAAAGCTAAGACAGCAGTTACATCTGAAATCTATCAATAATTAGAAATCAATCCTGCCCCTTGTCAGTGCAAATTAATATCAGCTGGTTCAGTCTCAACTGATGGATTATAAAAAGGTGTCTCATTACCAAAGCATCTGTCAGGGAATGTGCATATCTGTGCGCAGGAGCAGAACCCCTGTTAGCCCTGCTTATGGCCAAGTAGCAACTGCGCGTGCTCGCACACAGGTTCATGCAAGTGCGCATGTGCGACCGCGCATTGGTGCCAGGCGGGCTATTAAGCTGGGCTAGTGCCTTGCATTAGTGCCGTTTGGTCTAATACTTTTGAGCACCCGTGCATCCTGTTACCTGTGATTCCATTGCTGATCTGACCTGTTATTGACCCTGCTTGAACACTGCCTGTACCGACCCCTGGCCTGCCCTTTGAATATTCTTTTGCCTGCTGTTTATGCTAAGTCTGCCTGCTAGTTGCCGACCCAGACCGCTTGACCTTGCCTTACTCTGCTCCTGCACCTGAACTGGCTTATCCTTGCCAGTATCCTGCTCCTGCAGGTCTGCCTGCAAGCCACCTGCCAGTCTGCTCCTGCACCTCTGCCAGAGTGTCATCTGCCAAGCCATTCCTGCACTTCTGCCAGCATTCCATCTGCCAGCTGCTCCTGCACTTCTGCCTGTGTGCCATCCACCAGCGGCTCCTGCATTCCTGACGCATGTCAACATCCATGCGCAGAAGTCCTACCAGACACTCGTGCACCTCTGTGCTCCGGCACTCCCTGTCACTTTACCAGGGCCTCTGAGCCAGAGCTGCAAGGGAGGCCTCCCCACTTTAGGTTCTACCACCAGGTATGTTATGGCATCACACAAGAAACATCTCATGGAGGGTGAAAGCAAAGAGCTCTCTCAAGACCTTCGCAACCTTATTTTTAAAAAACATACTGATGGCATTGGTTACAGAAGGATTTCTAAGCCTCCGAATGTTCCATTGAGTACTCTTGAGGCTATAACCTGGAAGTTGAAAGAACATCATTTCACCATTACCGGCCATGACCAGGTGCTCCTTGCAAGATTTCTGACAGAGGAGTGAAAAGAATTATCAGTAGAGTTGTCCAAGAGCCAAGGACCATTTGTGGAGAGCTTCAGAAAGACTTGGAATAAGCAGGTAGAATTGTTTCAAAGAAAACAATAAGTAGTGCACTCAACCGCCATGGCCTGTATGCACACTCATCACACAAGACTCCATTGCTGAAGAAAAAGCATGTTGAAGCTCATTTAAAGTTTGCTGCACAACATTTAGACAAGCCTGTGAAATACTGGGAGAATATAGTCTAGTCAGATGAGACCAAAATTGAACTTTTTGGATGCCATAATACACATCATGTTTGGAGATCAAATGGCACTGCACATCACCTCAAAAACACCATACCAACAGTGAAGTTTGGAAGTGGAAGCACCATGGTGGGACTGTTTTCAGCATACGGTACTGGCAAACGTCATATCATTGAAGGAAGGATGAATAGAAAAATGTACCAGGACATTCTTGATAAAAAATCTGCTTCCATCTACCAGGATGATGAAGATGAAACGAGTGTGGACATTTCAGCAAGACAATGATCCCAAACACAAAGCCAAAGAAACTCTCAATTGGTTTCAAAGAAAGAAAAATAAAGCTGTTAGAATGGCCCAGCCAATCACCTGACTTGAATCCAATAGAAAATCTATTGAAAGAACTAAAGATCAGAGTTCACAGAAGAGGCCCACGGAACCTTCAAGATTTGAAGACTGTGTGGAAGAATGGGCCAAAATCACACCTGAGCAATGCATGTGACTAATTTCTCCATACAGGAGGCGTCTTGAAGCTGTCATTACCAACAAAGGATTTTGTACAAAGTATTAAATACATTTCAGTTAGCGTGTTCAATACTTTTTCCTTGTGTCATTCCATTTTATTACACATAACTTACTTGTTTTGGTTTCCTTGTATGTATGGATTGCATGAGTTGTTGCTGACATGTGAAAATGTAATGTCAATAGCATCTCTAGAAATATATTTACTGAGAAAAATGGTGACGTGTTCAATACTTATTTTACCCGCTATCTATGTATGTGTGTGTTATATTGCCAAAAGTATTAGGATGCCTGCAACATGATCTGCATCCCTCTGATGAAGTCACGTGGGCGTAATGTAATGCATAAGGGGCGTGGCTCTGAGCAGACTTAAATAATGAGTTCAGCTGATAGGAAGCTCAGCCTGCATCTGATGATTTTAAAAGCTTAAAAGCTTATGGCGTTTTTATTCATTTGCTACGTGTGAGTCTACTACTGCTTCTTAATAAATACTTATGCTAGTACATACTGCACAATGGGAGTCTCCTTCATTCCCTTTTAAGGATAGAAATGTGCGACCTCCATTACCTTTAACCACCCAAGGTGGTTCTCTCGTTCTGGGAGGACGTCATATGACGTCCTTCCATTCTCACCGCGCATGCGCGGCTCAGGGAGCATGCAGCGGCGGCGATCGCCGGTGCGTTGTGTCCCTCGGACACAGCGGATCACGGAAAGAGCTGAAGATGTCAGCTCGGTCATGTGATCAGCTGTGTCCAATCACAGCTGATCACATGTAAACACGGAAATGCCGGTTATCGGCATTTCTCTCCTCTCGAGCGGTCACGCTAACAGCTCGAGAGGAAAGGAGAGCCGGTAATCGGGTTTCTGCGGAGGGGACATGTACACTGATCATCGGGCACTGATGATCAGTGTGCCCTGATGATCAGTGTGGCCCCAGAAGTGCCACCTGTCAGTGTCCATCAGTGCCAGCAGTCAGTGCTCATCAGTGCCACGTGCCAGTGCCCATCACTGCCACATCAATGCCACATATCAGTGCAAACCAGTGCACATCAATGCCACATATCAGTGCCCATCTGAGCTTCCTTTCAATGTCACCCATCAGTGCCAGTCAGTGCCACCTATCAATGCCAATCAGTGCCACCTATCAGTGCTGCCAATCAGTGTCGCCTATCAGTGCACATCAGTGTCGCCTATCAGTGCGCATGAGTGTCGCCTATCAGTGCCAGTCAGTGCTGCCTGACAGTGCCGGTCAGTGCTGCCTATCAGTGTCCATATATCAATGTCATGTATCAGTGCTGCCTTTCAGTGCCCATCAGTGATGCCTGTCAATGCCCATCAGTGCAACCTAGCAGTGCCTCCTCATCAGTGCCCATCAGTGCCACCTATCAGTGTCCATCAGTGCAGCCTATCAATGCCCATCACTGCAGCCTCATTAGCGCACATCAGTGAAGGAGAAAAATCACTTATTTACAAAATTGTATAACAAAAACTAAGAAAAAAAATTTTTTTTTCAAACTTTTCAGTGGTTTTTGGTTTGTTTAAGAAAAAATAAAAATCCCAAGAGGTGAGTAAATACCACCAAAAGAAAGCTCTATCTGTCTCAAAAAAAAAAAATTCATATGGGTACAGTGTTGCATGACCGCGCAATTGTCATTCAAAATGTGACAGTGCTGAAAACTGGAAATTGGTCTGGGCAGGAAGGGGGTATAAGTGCCCTGTAGGCAAGTGATTAAAGAGACCGATCCCGAGCTCTGGTTTGGCATTCTATTGAAAGTTCAAAGGTGTCTGATTACTATCACATGGTTGTGGATTGAAAAAGTGAAGACTCCTTCTGTCTACTTGTTATTACTAAGTTCATTTTCATGTGAGCGTCCTGTGTGCACTGAGGTGGCACTACTTGTATAATGCACACTGTTTCACTTGATGGTGTTTTGGATATCAGTACAAGAAGAAAAACACATGAATTGTTGGAGAACTTGTGATTTCACATATATGGACTTATTTATGGACGTTTTATTCAGTTTTGTCCTCATTGTCTTTTTATTTATAGTTACCTTATAGCAGCGCAACATCACTTGTTTATTTTTTATTGATCTTTATTGTGGGAACACAATTTGATGTTAGCAGCAGCCATCATTGTCACATTCATTAAACTTTGTCCTATTATTTAGGCAGCGCAAGGGTTTTCAATTTATTTAAATTCTAGCACCAGATCTCCTCCGTGACGCTAAACTGATGACCTATAAGGAGCTTTGAAAGTGTCGACCTATAGAAGATATAGGGTACTGAAGTTCGTCGCCATTTCACAAGCATGTACAAATTTAAGGTTTGACAAGTTGCATTTCTATTTACTCAGTGCAACCTCATCTTTTATAATTTACAAAAAAATGGGGTAATTTATTGATTTTTTTTGTGCCCTAAAATTTACTTATTTAGGTATTTTTTTACGGAAATTTTGCGGTAATATCATGCAATATAAAAAATTGAAACTACCACTATTTTTTTCTCTAGGGTCTCTGCTTTCTGAAAATATATAATGTTTGGGGGTTTTATGTAATCTTCAGGTCTAAAGTGATTTTTTAAACTTGTGCAAAAAATACAAAAACGGCTCTGGCAGCAAAAGGGTTAAAGGATAAGCCCTGACCCACCCTTTCCTGAGGAGCAGCCAATCGGTGCTCATTACACTGCAAGTTTTCTCCCCTCCCTGCTAGTCCCCGGGTGCAGTGCTGGGGAGAGGCAGGGAGGGGAGGAGGAGATAAACAGCACAATGTTTAAATAGTAAACGTTTAGGTCACCACAAAGCCGCTTTTTTGTTTTTAAAAGCCCCATACATTCCTAATATCACCTCCAATTTAAAAATCTAATTTTAATTTGGTAAAATGTTTTTTTTTTTTTTTTTAATCTAGACAAGTAGATTGTCGTGAGGGACTAGTAGATTGGGGCACCGATTTAGTCCCTGGACAAGTAGTTTTTTAAAATATTTCCACACCCCTGCCTCCCGCAGGCCACTGGTGTGAATGTCTCTGACCAAACAATTAGAAAGAGACTTCATGAGGGTGGCCTGAGGGCCCGACGTCCTCTAGTAGGCCCTGTGCTTACTGCCCGGCACCATAGAGCTGGATTGGCATTTGTCATTGATCATCAGAATTGGTAGGTCCGCCACTGCCCCTGTGCTTTTCATAGATGAGACAGGTTCACCTTGGGCACATGTGACAGACATGAAAGGGCCTGGAGAAGCCGTGGAGAACGTTCTGCTGCCTGTAACATCGTACTGCATGACTGTTTTGGTGGTGGATCAGTGATAGTCTGTGGCGGCATTTCTATGGAGGGATGCACAGACCTCTACAGGCTAAACCAGGGGTCCTCAAATTACGGCCCACGGGCCACATGCAGCCCGCCGACGACATTTATCCGGCCCGCCGGGCAGGGGCGTATCTGCCGCGAGGCAAGGGACTAGGGTTTGGCAGGTCGGGAGAGCTCGGATCAGCAATTCTAGAACAGGGGAAGGTGGGCTCGGCTTATGAACCCGCACCACTCACCTGGCCTCTCTGCAGCCAGCCAGCCATCTATTCTGATCAGTGCATGCAACCGTCACGGCCGGAGGGCGGAGCCTAGAGCTGACCATGAAGAGGGGGAGCAAGAGAGGAGACTCCATCGCTGCATGTCAGGTATCACAGCCACGGACCCTAGATAAGTGCAATAGAAGATCGATCTCCTCCCTCTCTCTCTTCTCTCTCCCTCCCCTCTCCTCTCTCCCCCTCCTCCTCTCTCCCCCCTCTCTCTCTCTCCCCCTCCTCTCTCTCTCCCCCCCTCTCTCTCTCTCTCCCCCCTCTCTCTCTCTCCCCCCCTCTCTCTCTCTCCCCCTCCTCTCTCTCCCCCCCCTCCTCTCTCTCCCCCTCCCTCTCTCTCTCTCCTCCCCCTCCTCTCTCTCCCCCCTCCCCCTCCTCTTTCTCTCCCCCCCCCTCCCCCCTCCTCTCTCTCCCCCCCTCCTCTCTCTCTATCCCCCCTTCCTCTCTCTCTATCCCCCCTTCCTCTCTCTCTCTCCCTATCCCCTTCCTCTCTCTCTCTTTACATTGTACACAGATCTGAGCCAACAAGGTGTCCTGCATTTACCGTATATTTTGCTCCATAAGAAACACTTGGGGGGAAATGTCTATGCGTCTTATGGAGCGGCCGGCCCAGTATTCCCGCCGCAGTTGTATGTCCGCAGTCTCTGGTCATCTCATGTACTATGTCCGCAGTCTCTGGTCATCTCCTGTACTGTGTCTGCCATTGTTCATAGTTTTTTTTTTTTAAACTATAGCCCTGCCCTCCAACGGTCTGAGGGACAGTGAACTGGCCCCCTGTTTAAAAAAGTTTGAGGACCCCTGGGCTAGACAATGGCACCCTGACTGCCATTAGGCATTGAGATGAAATCCTTGGACCCATTGTCACATGGTACGCTGGTGCAATGGGTCCTGGGTTCCTCATCTCATGTGGTGAGAGTATGCAGGCAGTTTCTGGAGGATAAAGGAATTGATACCATTGAATGGCCCCCACACTCGCCTGACCTAAATCCAACAGAACACCTCTGGGATATCATGTTTTGGTCCATCCGACACCGCCAGGTTGCACCTCAGACTGTCTAGGAGCTCAGTGATGCCCTGGTCCAGATCCGGGAGGAAATACCCCAGGACACCATCCGTCGTCTCATTAGGAGCCTCCCCCGACATTGTCAGGCATGCATACAAACATGTGGGACCATACAAACTACTGATTGCCATTTTGAGTTGATGCAATGAAATTTCAGCAAAATGGACTAGCCCGCTGCATCATCTTTTCTCTTTGATTTTCGGGGTGTCTTTGAATTCAGTCCTCTGTAGGTTGATAATTTTTATTTCCATCAAACGATGCGGCATCCTTACATTCCTAACACATTACCCCGTCCATATCAGTATAGATACCCAGCATGATATTTTTCCCCATTGAGATCTGATGTTCTTTGGGATTGAGATCTCAAGGTGTTTCTTTAATTTTTTGGAGCAGTGTATGATATGCAAATATATCCTACGTGTATAACCAAATCAGTACGTACTGTAAATAAAGATTTGTGTAAAGTGAAATACAGCACTACAGTTTCAACTGAAATGTAACCTTTCTTGTGCAATTAAATCCCACAGTAATACCCACAAAAATATCCCAAAGACAATGTAACAAAATGCATTAATGTGAACACAATATGTTAGCGCAAGAGTATGTAAGAAAAATTGCAGTGAGATAGACCCAAAGAACCTGATTTAGTAGGGGAGCATAGAGCATTTTTGCTTTCAAAGTGAATTTTCCCTTATCTTGGAGGATGCACTGAAAGAAAAGGAAGATTCACTTTGCAAAGAATACACAATCATGTGAAAGAATGTAAAAAATGATTTCACTTGCACTTGATTAGATGATTAAAGCTGAACTCCAAGAAAACTAAAATCATTCCTTGTAGTGGGTCTACAGTCACACTGCAAGGTTTAACAACTTGGTTATGCCTTGGGGACCAGGTGCAGTAGCTTTACTTACCTAATTTTTACTTACTTAGGCACCTCGGTGCTACTAGGCCAGGCCTTGCAGCCACTTCTCCTCTGCGCTCTGGTGGCATAAAGTTCCCTGATGCCATCAAGACTGACGCAGAGCCCATAGTACCGCACTGGACATGAGAATGCCAAGGGGTAGTTCATTGCCAGAGCAAAGAGGAGTACTGTTTGCCAGGGAGCAGAGGATCAATCAGACAAGTAAAAGTGCTCTTACTATCCCCTAGACCAGAGGTCTGCACTTTCCAGGCAAAGGGCCAGTTTACTGTCCTTCAGGCTTTCGGGGGAAGGGGGGGGGGGGGTGGGATGGGCGGAGTGTGGCCATTGTGAGTAGAAAATGCCCTGAAGTAAACATTGCTCCATTACTGGTAACAGTGAGAGGAATAGTGTCCCACTGTTGGTGGCAGGGTAAGCAATAGTGCTCCATCTTTGGCATCAGTAGGAGGAATAGTGCCCTATTGCTATTGCTGGTGTCAGTGGGAAGAATGGTTCTCCATTGTTGGTGTCAGTGGGAAGAATGGTTCTCCATTGTTGGTGTCAGTGGGAAGAATGGTTCTCCATTGTTGGTGTCAGTGGGAGGAATGGTTCTCCAT